AAAAAAGGGGGGGGGGGGGGGATTTTTATACACACACACACACACTCTTTTTTGTGTGTGTGTGTGTGTGCTCACACACATATATATAAAAAAGAGAGAGAGATATATTTTTTTTTTAAAAAAAAAAAAAAATATATATACATATATATATACACACACACATATATATATATATATATATATATATATATATATATATATATATATATATATGTATGATCGGTCGTTTTCCTAGAGGTCTGTATGCAAATTTTTTTTTTCAATTACGAAACATAATTTTCCATCACTTTTTTACATTGATGTATAAGTGATCACACAGGCATTCCCAACAAAAAGCTTGTGTTTATGTGTATGAAAATGTACTATCCACCCTCCCTGTTAAATTTGATCTAATCCATGTCCTGAAACACAGCCCCTCTCCTGCTTTCACTTCTCATACTGACGGACGGAGTGATTTGTTTGTGAATGAATCTCCGTTATGAACGACTCGTTCACTATCTGACATTAATACAAGTTTCTGGCACTGCAGCATCTCGTTGTCATATTTGTTTTGCATTGTTTGCTGATTTTATTAAACTAAACTAGCATAAGCAGAGTGTTTAAATAAGGCGCTCATATTATTGCGCAATAATAGGAATTAATATAGATCACGCCACTAAACACATGAAAACGAACGTAACGAGCGTGGTTTTAAAAAATGTACGGAGTAGAAAGTACAGATATTTATGTAAAAATGTAAGAAGTAAAAGTAAAAAGTTGTTTAAAAAATAAGTAGTGGGGTAGTGATGCCAGAAAAATCTACTTAAGTACAGTAATAAAGTATTTGTACTTCGTTACTTCCCATCTCTGGCTGGAACTAGCCGGATCTGGAACCTCTGAAATCTGATCCGGCACCTCATTTTACCAATCCCCCTCCTCAACCGCCCTCCTCCACAGTCCGCTGTTCACTTTCTTCCGCAACTCCTTATTCCTCTTCACTTTTGTCCGTGACAACCCCTCTTCAGAAACGCTAGGTGAAACGCTAGTGTGGACGCGAATCGTTTTTATACTAAATACTAAACTCGTTTTAACTAATGAGATCAGAATGAGAAACTAAACATAGCGTTGGTTTCATACTGATTACTTTATCAAGCAGTGTTTGTTTTCAACATGCATAGCAGACACATACAATATGCATTTAAAAGCAGACACTTCGAGCTGTCTAGAGATGCATGTCTCATCTCTGTGAGTTTAGTTTTCACGGCGTTTCAACCCATTTTACTGACACGTTTCTAAAAGCAGTTCACAGAGAGAGAAAAGACAGAATGCGTACACTGTTTGTTTTCCTTATTTTGCAAAAGCACACATGTTTGTTGTTGTTGTGAGTGTACACAACAAAAAGTAGACACATAACAGATTCGATTGATGTATTGATCTTATCTTTACGATCAAAACTGAAAGAGTAATTTAAGTTCATTTCAGCAGTTTGACGACACCACAGGTCAAAACGCGTATACATGTGTTTAATCAAGGTTGCAGCTTAACTCTGAATCTAACATCCCAACAACTGTAATGAGGTGATATAGGAGAATTCGTACAGTCCTTACTTTTATACGGATTACATAAAAACAGATTATTTGTTTTCGACTTGAATTGGTTAATGCAAAAGTAGACATGTCAAGCTTTATATCGATATCATAAATCATCATCTTTGTTGACTATTTGCAGAGTTATCTTTCCTTTTAGTGACATGTTTTTCCGACCACAGTCTGCACTCGTCTAATGCATATGCTTGCAATAACAATGCCTAGTGGGCGTGGTCGCATTAAAACTAATGAGGTCAGACTGAGAAACTAGACATAGCGTTGGTTTCATACGGATTACTTTATCAAGCAGTGTTTGTTTTCAACATGCATTTAAAAGCAGACACTTCAAGGTTTCTAGAGATGCATGTCTCATATCTGTGCGTTTTGTTTTCGCGGAGTTTCATTTTACCGACGCGCTTCTAAAAGCAGATCACGGAGAGAGAAAAGACAGAATGCCTACACTGTTTGTTTTCCTTATTTTGCAAAAGCACACACGTTTGTTGTTGTTGTGAGTGTACACAACAAAAAGTAGACACATTACAGATTCGATTGATGTATTGATCTCATCTGTACGATCAAAACTGAAAGAGTAATTTAAGTTCATTTCAGCAGTTTGACGACACCACAGGTCAAAACGGGTATATGCGGTCTTCGACCCCAGAGGGTTAAAGACAGGTGTGTTTAATCAAGGTTGCAGCTGCACTCTTAATCTAACATCCCAACAACAATAGAGTAACGTTTTAGGAAACATTCAGAACACTTCGGCATTGCGGCAGTAAGTTTTGCGCAGGCAACCAGTCAATGGAAATTTTAAAAACTGCATCTTGAATTTCTTCAAAAACAAGCTCTGCAAGCACTATACTGTAAATCCATGCGAGGGTGATTAATGGAGGGGCTAAGGTTAAAGAAACAGAGAACGCATTCACAAAGTCATTGTCTCTTATCGAACGCCAAGACGAGGACAGATGCACTCGGATAAAACAAGTAATCAGGGCGCCCAGAGCAAGAATCGATGCACGTTTCTGCACAGATCTACAAAAACAACCCAAGTACAGAAAGCTCAAGTGTTTGACTCTTGGAAAAACATGAATGCTGCAGTTTTCTATGGGAAAATGGCATAAATCATTTAGAAGTCCTTCTAAATATATTCTGTTGAGCGAACACTGAGTGAGATTTACTGAGCAAATGCCACCCTACAAACAGGATAAGCATGTGTGTGTGTGTGTGTGTGTGTTTCCGGCACTTACCCAGCAGGTGTTTGAGCACAGCCTGGTTCTGGTCCCAGATGCTGTTAAATGTGCTCCAGCGGGACCGGCCATCTGGCAGGGGGTTTTTGCGGACCCATCCTCCACAGGCGTATTGGTAAAAATCCTGACATGGGTCGGCAGAGCGGTCCAAAGCTTCAACAATCTTGCTGGCCACAGTGACACAGGCCTCGGTTAGACAGATACTACGGGCTGGATCTGGAGGGGATCAAGGGTACAGGAAATGACATTCACAGTGCATTATGGGAAATCTTGCTGAGCAAAACAGAATATGTGAACGATGAAGGGCGGTTGCTAAATTAATCAGTTGGGAGTTTATTGAATTGTGAACAATAGTGTTTGGATTTTTAAGTATTGTATTAAAATTAGGCCTACATCAACATGAAAGTACAGCGATAATAAGTCCATATTAAGTAATAGACTCACATAACAATAGAGGCTCTAATATGCTTGTTTGCTAGCCAAAAATTTGTCTTGGTTTTGAATTGTACGTCTGTCAGTAATGATAATGAAACAATTTCGATCAGTGTTTCTCAAGAATATTTTGCAGTATTTGATGGAATGAAGGGTTTCCAAGGGTACAACTGGGTTGTTGCTAGATCAGATACGGTTGCCAGAAGTTAACAAGAATTATTTATGATATTTATAAACGTCTACCCCCTATGCCAGGGGTCACCAATCTCATTCCTGGAGGTCCGGTGCCCTGCAGGGTTTAGCTCCAACTTGCCTCAGTACACCTGCCTGTGTGTTTCAAGTATAACGTTACCGTTTCTCAATTCCAAGAACGCAGAGAACGGACTTGTGTTCTTGTGGAGACCGATCTTGCCAGGTGTCCTCGGAAGAACGAACTCAGGAGACCGCGAGGGTAGAGAACGCGTCCTTTGAGAAATGGGATGCTGCGTTCTTCCTGATGGTCATGTGACCTTCACGTGTTTTAAATGGTAAATTATTTAAACATTACAGCACTCATACAACGATTTATTGTTTTTCCCCTTTTCAAAATATATACTTTGCATAAAAACATTATAAATCTATGTTGCACAATATAAATAAAACAGATTTTAATACGAATTTCAGCAAACAAACACCCTTAATGTGTTTATTCCTTTATTAAGATATTCATGTTAATGTTTACTTTCACCGTTTCATTTAAGGAAACTCCTGATGTAAATAATTCATATCTATGAACTGTAATAATAAATCTAAATGAAATGCTGCGCTTCCCACCTTCAGTCGCAATGACTTCTGGGACTTCCAGAGCGAGTTCGGTGCTCAAGTCTGCATCAGTGCGACCTCGATATCAAGATCACATCCGGGAAGTTTCACGCGTCCTCCGTACTTGCGGTCTTGAGTATTGGAACTGAACTTAGGCAGCTGATGATGACGTTGCACGAGAACACGAGGACGCAAGACCGCTGAAGAACGCATATTGAGAAA